AGTATAGTATAGTATAGTACAGTACAGTACCAGGTCTGTTGTTCACAGCGGGCCCATGGGGGTCCTCTGGGTTCTGGGACCTGCAGGTCCAGGTAAGTCTGTCCAGCAGGAGCCTCAGGGGGTCATCAGGTCCAGGCAGTTCGTCCTGAGTCTGCCTGGCCTGTGGCAATAAAAACAGCCCGGTTCGGCTCGGTTCTGTATGGACTGTCATCACGGTGGACCCGAGCGGCACCGCGCGCCTACACCGCTGCGGATTTTCTCCTGCGCACGTTGACGCGGCAGCGGCAGCGGCAGGAAGTGTGCTGCTGGCGCGGCAGCGGCAGCGGCAGTGGGGGGGACAGAGCCGAGAACCAAAAGTCGGCGGTTGGACAGGAGGAGAAAATAACCATGTCTAATCCGTGAAAGGTGCACATCCTGCGTGTCCACGCCGTGCATCACTCTCCGCGCGGGCGCAGAGGCCAACCGAGGGGTGAGTTCGGGTCAGAAAACGGAGCAGAACCGAGTTTTTTCTTCAAAGCGGGGCCGCGGTGTGTTTGTGAGATCTTTGTGTAGCTCCGGGCTAGCTGCCATGCTAACCTGCGCTGCAGCGGCGACACATTTTACCGCCACGAAGGGACCGTAAAACCGTCCAGCTGCCTCCCCCCGGTGTCTGCAGCGCGGTGTCGAACCTCATTCTTTATTTTGGTTCTGATTCGGTGGTTTCGAACTTCCGTTTTCACTCTCTCTGTCAACGCGGGATGCTAACCGACTAGCCTGGCGCTAACGCTGCTGTTAGCTCGGCCGAGCCTCCGTTCACCGCATCCTCTCCGCCGAACCTCCCGTTACTTCAGTCAGAAATCACCGCGGTTCGGTCCGGGGCTGTTTATTACCGTGACCCGGTCAGTGAACTCTGCTCGGTACCGGGCTGAAGCGGGCCAGCGGAGGGTGTTTACGGGTTAAACAGCGAGCTAAGCCGTTAGCTCGGGTAAAATGGCTCTCTGCTGCTGAAAGCCATTTTCAGAGGTTCGGGGGTCTTGGTGAAAGTGGGCTGATGGCTGCGGCTGGTATCATGTCGGAACCAGAGGTGCTGCACGGCCAGCCCTCGGCTCCCGGTCCTCCGGTGCGGGCCAGCGGGCCTCTGGAGACCCGCTCCCCCGGTTCTGGAGGGCAGTTCGCGGCAGGAAATGGCCGAGCCGCGGCGGAGAGATGTCCCGCTTTGTCCCGACAAATTCCTGCCGAGACCGGACCGGACCGGACCAGGACGAGACGGGCCAAGGTCAGGACTGTGAGAGTCCAGTCCGCCTTCGGTAAACTCAGGAACCCTCACATGTGGGTCAGAACCGGGGAAGACCCAGCAGAATGTTTGAAACGGGTCAAACCAGGTGTGTGTTTGTGAACCGATCCGGGTCATCCCAGGTGGACCCGGGTCGTGTTGGTCCGGACGTCCAGAGGCAGCTGAACTCATGGACCGGTTCGGTTTGTTTACAGTAGAACCAGAACTCTTTACTGACGGTTCTGAAACAGCAGAGTTAAAGTTCTGGTTCGGCTCGGTTCAGGTCTGATGTGATATTTTCTGTTTCAGTAATAAAATGTTTTATTCAGAATGGAGGCTGTAAAAAGTTCCAACATTAAATTATTTAATTTAAATTTTAAAGCTGAAAACATGAAACTGAATCTAAATTTATTTATTTTTGAAGTTTTTATCTGAAACCAAGTCCTGATGTCCGGTCTCTGCTGGTCCACACAGATCCTCTGGATCCCTGCAGGTTCTGTTGTCTGTCGGGCAGGTACCGGTTCTGATGATCAGTGGGTTTAACTCAGGGGTCTGCAAGCTGCGGCTCAGGGGCCACATGTGGCTCTTTGAAAACGTGACCAAACAAACCGAATCTTTTGTTTTTTATTCTCCCAACAGAAATAAATTAGTGATTAATACAACAAGGAAAACAACTTTTTACTTAAATAATATAATTTATTTCTCTGGAATCCATTAGAATTATCATTAAAGAATTTGAAGACATAATAATAATAATTAGAAAAACATAAACCTCATTAGTTCAGTTGTACCAGTTTTTTTATGAGATTCTGTATAAACTACAGTGTTTTTCTTGTTTACATGATTATTGTCTTCATTTGTCCTGATA